CAATACCTCTGTTTTTTACAGTCAAACACACCCTTAGGATACTTTAAGAGTTTACAGTTTACGAGTCAGGATGCTTCTTTCATTCTTTTTTTATTCCCCTGAGGGCGGGTTGGGCGGTCTTAAATACTCTCCGCTGCAACTGTGTGATCAGCCTGATTTGTTTTGGATATACTCGTCGTATTAATGCGCTTCATTTAAATTTTACCCGCCTGTTGTGTTTTTCCCACCTGTCCACTTTCTAGTGCGCACAAAACGAGGGAAAAATTAACAAAATTCTCACGTCTGCCCAATTTGTCTGCAAATTTGCCTGGGGCAGATTCCTCAATCAACACCGATGCGCATGCGTCAATGAACACCGGAAAGACCGGTTCTGGAGAAACAGTTTCTGAAGACGAAGATTTTTCTAAGTTCAAGAAAAGGTGACAGTATTCTCAAGTTACCATTCTCAAGTTTCTTCGCACCAAGTTGCCACAAGGCCTTACTCGTAAAATGGCATTTCAGACGACATTTCGGAAACTTGGAAGGTGACGGCAGAGGAAACATAGATAGGAAACTCAGGTGGGTGGATATACATGTATGTTACGCTACAGTTAACCAACAGCTGTGGACAGAAATGGTAAAATACCGGCTCAAATATCACAATTTCTGACACGTGTATAGCATTAGGTGTGGACTGAACTCAAGTCAACAAAGTGTTTATTCACAAACTGACAAAAGAACAGTTTGTACGGCCGTCATGTCTAACGTTTGGACAAGCATTCTGTCAGAATTTACACGGCATAAACTACAGTAATTACGATTGGGGTTCGAGCAATTTCCATAGACTCTTAGTGGTGAACTCCACATCCACAAAAGGACTGATACTTCCTTGCTATTAAAGCAATGTGTTTATTGATAGATTAATGGACTGAGAAAAGGGACATTGGAGCACACAATTGTACATGCCCGTACGTATACAGACAACACGACGTCCGACTATTGATCATAATTAAATTATGATCAATTATGATTTACGAGAACACACCGGAAGACACATAAAGAAGCTTAAGGGTGGCCATGGAATCATACTGGCACACAGTTCTAGTATATTTTTCTGAATACACATTAGTAAGTTGTGATATCAGCAACGCTAATACCGGTAAGTGAACGCTGTAAGTTAACACAGTACCGTGTCTTGCAATCCATATCAGTCTGTTTTGATATTTTTCCCTCCAGTTTATTCAGCGCCAATCGCTAAGAACAGAAAGAAACAACTTAACAGCCATGGCGAAACCTTACAAGAGGCCGGCAGACTTTTTCTTGCGGCGACATGACTTAGAGGACGTAAGTTGATATTCTACTATTGCCTGTTAATCTTGTCAGTGACGTTAAACTTTGTCAATAATTATATTAACGTCATCATCCGTTGCTTATGATTCAAGATTTCGCATGATCAGGCCATACCTGACTACCATAGCAGTAATATAATCATTATTACCTTCGTCAAGATATGTTTTAGTGTGTATGTGTGTTCGTGCGTGTGCGTGTGTGTTTTGGTGTGTGTGTGTGTGTCACGGTGTGTGTGTGTGTGTGTGTGTGTGTGTGTGTGTGTGACCGCACAAAATCCATTCTTTAAGCACTTCATGCGTTGCCGAAAGGTTAAAATCATTTGGCGAAGGTACGCGATCTTACAACTCTAGTTATTGTTATTATTAACAATACACTGCTCCCTCCACCACAGGTTGATGACGCGTCCTCTGTTATGACTGAGACCACCATAGAAACAGTGGACACCACGGACGAGAGCGGACCTATGGGGAAGGTCCGGCAATGCTGCAACATCGACAAGTCCCTGCTCATCGTCAAACTCTTCTACTCGTTCTTCTACGGCGCCGTGGCAGCCTTCATCCCTTACCTTAGCATCTTCTACAAGCAGATGGGCATGACGCCGCTACAAATCGGTATGTGTTACACTACACAAAATCAGTTCTTCAAATGAACTTTAAAGCAAAGCATGCGTAAAAGTTCTTCCATCGTGTCACCCTGCGCTCATGCTCTAACGCGTGCTTTAAGATTTAGCAAATGCTGGCCAAAGCGTACAGACAAGCATAAAACATCAATGACAATCCAAGAATAACTTTCAAACACATGCACGTGAAAGCATAACAAAGGTTAAAATTGTCCATCCAACGCCATTTTCAGCCGAACATTTAAGGTTTATATATAATGAACCACTTAGGACTGTTCACCTATAGCCGAAGCCGCAGGGCTGTTAACAGTAAGGATTTTACTATAGTCAATACTCACTAACCGAAGAAGGCCGTGTATACTTTAGACACGTGACTTTCTGGACGCTGGAGTGGGTGATAGGTCTCCGGAAGTCTGTATCGCCCGCCGTCCCGTGGTGAAGGAAGTGGTGGCATGCTCAGGCTTAGGTGGTGGAAATTTAACGATTGATTGACACGGATAAGGATTTTTATTTTGCCATTCGATGACCAGGTATGATCAATGGATTCCGACCTTTCGTCAGTATTTTTGCCGGACCTCTATGGGGAATCGTGGCGGACAGGTTCCAGATAAGAAAGGTAACTTCAAAACCTCTACAGTTTTCTTTAACTACAGTAGGGCTCACTGCATGAAGACATACCCTTCTGACGAAGGCAATAACACATAACTAGTAGTTTATTTGAAATAGTTAGTTGCAAAGTAAGTAATATGTAAACACAACGTTATTACAAGTTCATCCTATAAGATAATGACTTAGTTGTACGGCATTTTTTCGTAGAAAATACAGTTTACTTTCCAACCTTTCCGTCAGGTTATATTGATAGTGTCCCTGATGGCGTGGATAGTGATGGGGCTGGTGATCGGGCTCCTTCCCCCGGCCACGTCCGCTCCCTGCCCGCTGGACGCAAAACAGTACGTCGATACAAACTTATGGCCGCAGACACTACATGTCTCTCCAGAGCCGGCACTACACAAGGGGTACCCTTTCTACGCCACTATGGGTACGTCCTTTTGTTAGTTCATCTGAATTTTTGTTTTCTCAGTTTCTATATGACTTGCTAGGCGGTGCTATATCTGTTCACTAAACTTCTGTACCTTTCTTTGCGTGTCCAGATTCTACGGGTCTGGACGGCCCTCCGATTAGTTTCTTCGTCTTCGATCTCTTCCCGCGACCAGCTCCGTTTAAGTCTAAGTTACTGAGAGCGGAGTCGCCTTCCAGGGAAAGACGGGCAGCGAGCAACATCACGTCGGCTGTCACCACCAAACCAGCCGTCACCAAGAACGTTCCCACGACTGCAAAGAAGGCCACTCCTGCTAAAACAACAGAAAAACCAGCAAAACCAAAACCAACAACTAAGAAACCAACAGAGAAACCAGCAAAACCAAAACCAGCAACGAAAAAAGCGACGCCGAAACCAACAACGAAAAAAGTAACGCCGAAACCAACAACGAAAAAAGTAACAACGGCGAAACCTACAACAGAAAAGAAGGGAACACCTAAATCGAAGACCGATGAGAGGATAAAGAAGACTTTAGCGATGATGTTAGACCCAAGTAACCACAGGTACGTAATATTTGCATTATTTTCCAATATTTTAAGTTAAGTTCAACTATTAAGTAAACGAATTCACCAGAGTTCTTTTAAATCATTACTTCCTGTGTTTTTTTCGATTAGAAATGTCAATGTCGATTGGGCGGAAGCATTGTTTTGGGTGGCGCCATATTATGCTAGGTTTGTATGTTTGGGTTCCAAAGCGGATGGTTACTTAATCGTCAGGATTTTGACGCGTTATGCCCTGGGTTCAAAGATGTGGTCGACCACCAGGAATGTATGAAACATAAACCATGGTAAAAGAGTGGATTACCTTGCATTTTATGACGTGATTCGTTAACGTAAACTATACCTACTTTCTGGACGTTTGAAATGCCTTTCTTGTTGTACCTGTAGCTGGATGTTCGAGCCGGCCAGCCAGAGGACGCTGTTCCTGACGTATCTCGTCATCACGCTGCTGGCCGAAATCTTCTGGTCAGCCGCCTTCGCCATGGCTGACGTGGCGACGCTCAGGATCCTGGGAACGGGACGGATATCAGAGTACGGCGAACAGCGCTGGGCTGGCTCTCTGGGCCACGGTGTTTGGTGAGTACTATGATTTCACCTCTTTCAAGAGGGCTATGTTTTCGTGTGTGCTTGTAGCGTACCTATATCTGATTGTCAACACGATAACTCGAGAACGCTTTTGATTTCATTGTCTTGATATATGGTATGTGGGTAGGTCTCGATGACGTTCTCAATAGGCGTTCCTAGCAGTTTTTCGAGGAACTACAGCGGAGCTTCCTTTATTGATCTGGCCACGATTTTTGGGCGGTTGATAGCTCTTATGACGATAAAAAGGAGCCACGGTGTTGTCTGATCATAGATGTGACAGTGCAAAACCGTACAAGAAATAGATATTTTTTCTTAACATGTATGTATGTATGTATGTACAGTTGACTAACTTTCGCCTCCCTCAGGTCTCTATCTATAGGGTACATCCTATACTACTCGCGTAAGGACGTCACGAGGTGCGGGATAGTCATGACCATGACAGACTACCGACTCATGTTCTTCACGTTCGCTGGGCTGATAGGAGCTGCACTCGTCATCGCAATATTCATGCCTTTTCTGGTACGTAACGTCTTCTTACATGTACTTTTGTCAGACTTGCTACCTATACCCAATAGTATGTTCTTGGATCATACCCCGAACTTCTTAGAGTGTATTTTGACAGTCACAAGTTGTCAATAATTTTTAAACACGCCTCTAACATGTAGATTCCACATTTTTACTTCCAGGACGGAAGTTTTGTTTTTGGGTGGCGCTTATTTGGGGAGAGTTTGTATGTATGAGTTCAAAATGAGTGGGTAGTAATTGAATTTCACTAGTAGATTCTCAGGGTTTTGACCCGATATGCCCTACGTTCAAGGATGTGTATAGGGGAGTAATGGTCACCGTACAATCGTATGAGTAACAATAGTAACATTGTATGATGTAATTCATTAACACACACTATATTCTACTTCCCCCGGGAGTTTGAAATCTCTTATTTCTTGTTTTCCTACAGGAAGGGTCAGATCACAGTAGCCCACACGCCACGCGAGCGGCCCTGAAGCTCTTCTGTTCCGCGCACTATGGTTCTATTCTACTGACAACCATCTTCTTCGGGATGTGTTACGGTATCATCTGGGGCTACATCTACTGGCACTTGGAAAATATAGGTACGCCAGACATGTTAATGTTCCTGCTAAAAGTAATCTAAGTTATATGTAGTAACAGCATACTGCCATACACAACGTAAAACAGTACCGTAGTGGGAAGAGAACCTATAATATTCCATGCACTTTAACGTAACTAGACATGTACCTGAAGCGACTGTCACACATTCAGAATCTTCCCCCGACAACCAAGCAAGGTTTGTCGACATTCGTGAGTAGTCAGATCAGATTTATTCCACCCCTACCTTTCCATAGGAATCAAATCAAATTTGAGTTAAACTTGAATCAAATTTTATATTACCACGTTCGGCAGTGTTCAGGAGGCCACATTCAGCTGTGTATGACAGGGGCCTAACTGATTTATCTTCCCATTGTTAGGAGCTGGACAGAACGTGATGGGCGTGTCCACTGTGGTCACCGCCGTCACGCAGGTCGTGGTGTTCCTGTTCGCCAACCGGCTGTTCAGGGTCATCAGTCACATCGCCATGTTACATCTGACTCTCGTCATCTTCTCTCTCTGTCTCATCTCGTACACCATGCTGCCCAACCCGTGGTGGGTCGTGGGGGTCGAGGTGTTGCACGGTAAGTTCTATATGGTTTCTCTCGTACTTGCGGGACGGAAGTATTGCTTTGGGTGGCGCTGGTTTCAGGGGTTTGTATGTTTGGGTTGAAGTGTTAGAAGGAAGGTGTAACAGTCAAGTAAGTCATGCAAGCGTATGAAGTGGGTGGGTGGAGATTATGTTTCATGATCAGTTGAATGACAGTGTTGTGACCTGTGCGGCATGTCCTGTGAGGTAGTACTGTGTAATCTTGGTATGAAATATTACGCATGGTGCAATAGCCGAGGAAGTTACGTTACGATATGCAATCGCGCGCGCGCGCGTGTGTGTGTCTGTGTGTGTGTGTGTCTGTGTCGTGTGTGTGCGTGTGCGCGCGCGTGTGCTCAATCCACGCATATACTAGTACTCTGCCATCTCTCTGACCGTGCCTTGTTTCCTGCAGGTTTTGCGTACGCCGCCACGTGGTGCACCTTGGTGACGTACACGGCCCAGGCGGTCCCTCCCGCCGCCATCTCCACCGTGGAGGGTCTGCTGCACACCGGCTACATGAGCGTGGGCACCGGCAGCGCCAAACTGCTGGGCGGCATTCTCATCGACACATACGGCCTGATCTTCACGTACAAGGCCTTCGCCTGCGCTTGCTTGGTCATACTGGCTATCTTTCTGCTGACGCAAACTGTAAGTATTTCTCCAGATTTAATTTACAACAAGGAAATAGAACTTTCACGGAGTACTGCTAAACTTTCATTGTCAAAAACAATTGTAATTTTAACTCATTCTACATACAGATTACACCCAGATAAACGTCTGTGGCTATACTAGTATATGACATATAGTAAAGTGAACACCTCCATTTTTCTCAGATCATGAACGTTTGTTTCCTACCGTGAACATAAAGTGAATTAGAGTATTTTCTCCCCTTCCACAGTGTTCGTACAAGCCCGTGCTGGTAGTGGATGAGTACACCGGACAGATTCAGAGTCATATGTCCAAGTCCTTTCCTCACGACAACCCCAAACCCCCTGAACAATACTTACTCAGGCACCCTGGCGACCCCATGTACGATACTGTCACCGCAGCGGCCTGGGATAAGTAACGCAACTATATATAAATTCTTCTGAGTGCAACGTCTACGCAATGGACAAGAAGAAGACGCAACAAAACACAGAGACTTCCGTTAGCTCAAGTATGTTTTTCGGTCAGCTCCAACTTTTTCTATCAGGGCTGTCGTCGGCATCTGCTACTACTAAATATTTCAGATTACCACAGTACTAAGTTACTAACTAAATTTTTCAGGCTAAATACTTCCGTCCCGGAAGTATTTTTGGACAGCGCTGGTTTAGGGAGAGTTTGTATGTGTTTAGTCCTCAGCTCCATGGATTGGACGGGACAGGTGATGGGCGGAGTTGGGGTTTCGGTAAAAAAAAACACTTCTAGAAAGTGGGGATTTTCATGTTGGTTCTTTTACAATGGCTGGGAGAGAAAGGTTGCACTGACTGTGAATATGAAAATATAAATATATCCTCTCATGACAAAGTATGAGGAAAAATTAGCATAGTAAACGCACAAATAAATATAATTTATTGATGATGATAATAGATGATCCTTATTGCTGGACCAAACGCATAAAATATTTTACTTGCAATGTGTATGGGAGACATTTACGTCAATGATTGAAAATAATATTTCAATCACTATCATGAAAAATTAAAGTCTAATATAAATGGAGCAAAATGTAAGAATAAGAGGCAAATTTGATTTGATTGATTACTTTACTAGCTAGGTGACGAGATAGTAACTTTACGTACGACGTCTTTGTATACTGCCATTTGATTTAGTAAACTTCTAATGAGTGTATTTGTTAGGACTTTGTCGGTCTGTTTTACCCTACCTAACGTAGACCAATATCCATGCATCGCGCGATTGTCAATGACTATGGATTAACGACTATAAACCGGTGGCTACAAGTGAGGCCATGTTGATTTGATTATATGGATGACATCCGCGCGCGCATGAATTTTCGGCCGTTTCCAAAAAAAAAAGTTTTCAACCATACTGTAAATCGTACAAAACAGTTGCAAAATGAGCAAAAATATACCATAAGTTACAAAAAAATTAATAAAAACTATACCAATGTCGTAGAATGCCAAAATCAAACGAAATTGTCAAGAAATGAACTTGAAGACTAGATTAATCGCCAAACCATATTCTGTGCCATTTGCTCAACCCTCATGACCACGTAGATTTCATAATGAAAAGAACTTTTTTTTTTTTGCAAAACTATTTTTTTATCCGCACGCGCGCATCAGTTTTGGGGCTCCCGGAGGATGTCATCCATTTAATCAAATCAACATGGCCTGATCACAAGTCACCGACAAGACCAAAAAGTCGTGACCAAAAAGCTTAGGGGTTTGGGGAGTTCGCTTTGCAAACAAACCTGGCGGTTCACAAGGATGTTATGGTAGGAGAAGCGATCACGTCACACTGCTGTTTGTGTCGACTTCTCGCTTTGAATTGAGAGAAAACTGTTCGGTATCCAGGCTTTATGGCTTCTCTAGCTCTCTTACGTGGGATTTTAGAATCACACGATGTAAACCTTTCACACTTGGCGACTTAATTTACGGCTGCTTGAAATAGGAATGGCAATGTGTCCTTTTTTCTTTACTAAAGCGTAAGGCAAAAACTAGAAAGAGATGTCATATATGTTTTAATAGTCTGTATTTACAAAACAATATATGTACGAAACGACGAATATTTCGTATGTCCTCAATTAGCTGTAGGGGTAGACTGTCACCAAGTGACGATGAAGTGGCTTTTCCATTGACCTTATAAACATCATAATGAACGTCCTTCTTAACAGCACATTGTCGTAAATAAGTAGAAGATGAAGTGGTATAGTCTACATACTATTGTGATAGAATCTCCAAGCAGATGTAGAACCTATACATTAACATTTTCCGTCTATAGCGTCCGTTTTTGTTTTTTTTTCTAATCAGTGCAAAGTGAACCTGGTCTTAACATCGTATGTCGATGATTTTCGGTTCAATATAATGTCACATCAATTCCCCTCGCTTAAGTGCACAGACACATTCGATCCCAAAATTATCAGATACATTATACATAATTGCATGGTACATAATTAATTGTCATAAATTAGAAAATCTCTAAGAGTTCAACAAGAAACTGTTTACAGTTGTATGTTAATGGACTGTCACTGTCAACTTTGCCTGTAGCCACTGTATACATTAACTCACGGGCAATAACATTTTCTCGAGTGCCGATGAAGTGGCCTCATAAACAACGTAATGAACTTCCTTCTTAACGGCACACATTCGCAAATCAGCAATAGGTGAAGTGGTTTAAGCCTACGTACTGTTGTGGTAGAATCTCCAAGCATATATATAGAGAAAGAGACAATAGAAAGTTTTAATCTTAAGTTTAAAAGGTGTATGAGATGAAGTTAAAACTTTCTATTGTCTCTTTTTTCCTACATATGCTTGGAGATAAAAGTTATCATGTTGACGTATAGACATGTCTTTACTAACAATTTTACACACGTTCTTTTGTCGTCTTAATAGCTTTGTCTTCTCCTTTACATTAATATTTGGTGTCTATAGCATCAGTTGTATGTCCATCTATAAATCCGATATCATGAAACTTCATGCCCATGACAACTCCTGTCTCTTGTAACGGTCAAGTTCGATAAAAGTCACACGAACAAGTGTCGTGTGTGCACAAGATCAAGATTTGAATCGGTCCCTCAGCGGTCCTGGTACCAGCTAGGCCCAGGTGCGACGACGCTGGCTTTCTTGGCTTGTGTTTGCTTCCTGGTTTGGAAGACATCCAGGAGCAGTGTGGCCAGGAAGCAGAGTAGTATAAAACCCGTGCAGACCATAGCAGCGATCTCGGCAGGCCCCACCGTGCCGTCAACATGAACCTGCCAGGTCCAGTCTGACGTTTGCGGCGCTGTTGGGCTCTAGGGGGAAAGTTAAATACATGTATTGTTATTAGCATGTTGGGATGTAGTTCTATACAGTTAGAGAGATGTCGTACTAAAAGGCCCGGTACCGGTCACATATACATCGTGCGATCGTTGTATGATCGCCAGGATACTTTTGGGATAGTTGTGCCTGTGTCTCGCAAAGTTCTTCTGTCCTGTTACAGAAATGGCTGGCTTGCCGGTGCACTATGGTTCTGTCGCAGTCTGCTAGAATATTTTACGGCATCAATTCCGGCGTGTGACGACTTTCGACAAAATGTGATTGATGTTTGTCTTCCTAAGACCTATTGGCTTGGTTTCGTTGACAAAGAACTAAGACCTACGTACCAACGCAACAAATAGTATCACAATCCATTAGGCCTTCTTAAGGTATTCTGACCACAAATATGCGAAACACACACACACACACACACACACACACACACACACACACACACACACACACACACACACACACACACACACACACACACACAGACAGACAAACGAAAAACAATACCTACATTATCTGTATATGTAGATAATAACAGAAACACAAACCTGTGTGACAGACATTATATTGCCACTTGGTGGAATCACAGTGTATCAGCAGGTGACGGTTTGCTTCTGTTATCTGATCATTTGCGCTGTCCAATGAGAGGACTCACAGCTGAGAGGTCTTCCCCCGATCCGATAACCTTAAATCAGGGTGTAAGGACGTAATTTGAATAGACCGATACTGTTTCTCGTAATTAGCAGTTCAACCAATGATTTCTGTTACGCCGTCCCAACGAAAAGACTGGTTGCACGTCTTTCAAGAAATCTGTTTTCTTTTGGTATACTTTAAAATGGGTCTAGCTTGAAGCTGAAGCAGATGTGTTGTTCCACTGTGTTTCCGATGATAATTTTATTTTATTTTATCATGTGCGACGGCGAGTGTTGGATATGCCCAAATATAAACCAAATTTGTGATAAAATATTAATGTCAGTAACTTAATTAGTCACTTCTATCTGTGGATGGTGGAATTTCTCTGTCGTTAAAGTAAGTACATAGTGGTCTGACAATATAACAAAATAATGTCACATAGCTGCATACACCTATTTAAGTCAGTTGTGTACTACCGTACTCGTATCCTTGCCAATGAATACAAGTATCATAACTACTTTAACTAGCGTAGAATAATTATAAAGAAATTAAGCATTCTAACAAAGTTAACGCTGATATAAAACAGAACAATAAATGCTCCTACGTCCGTTTCCTCACAAAACCCCTTGTTTGCCATTGTTACTTCTAGTCTCTGTTGCACGCCTAAACTCCCCACCCTAAAACCCAACACAAGCACACAAACACCCAAGGAGTAGAGTCAAACAAGTAAATAATAAACACCTGGTTTCTAGAAAAACAACTTACCTTTGACTATCTTGTCATGAAACGTCCAAGAAGTTTGGAAAGTCGTTTCTGACTGGCTTCTTATGTGGTTTGTAGAAAGCCGTACTTTATGACTGGTCTCGATGTTTTTCATTCCAATTTGGGCGTCACCCGTAACACCTTATTATATGTATACAGCATGGTACGTCAAATAGACTGTATACACGGGAGATACCATTACATCGAAGGGACTGGGAAGTGTTAAAAATGTATTCACGCTAGAAACTAAACTAAATTTTTCCACAAATTTGTAGTATGCAAATATACTAGTAGTCAAACACCAGGAACATCTGTACACATGCCCCGAAAATATTTTTGGCCGTGACTTATGTGACTGCACCCCCCCCCCCTCATCTTTGTAGTTCATCCCTCTGGCTGGGATGTTGACCTTCATGATTTCTTACGTCACAGCTTTACACGGAATCTTTCGTTCATTTCGTTGTGAGGTGATAGAAAAATTGTGGCATAATTTTGTGTTTAATAATGTCAGGGAAAACGTTACTTTTTATGTGTGAGAAGTTACGTTTTGTTGGGAATGTATTGTTGATAAGCATATAAACAATGAGATTTTGTCACCGTTAGTGCCTTTGTAATCTTGCACGATCCCTCAATGACGATTAGCTGGTAACAATGGTTGGTAACGTGTACATGTGGGGTCGTGTGAGGGCACTTATCAGGTTTACTGTGTACAGAACCTCGCCCTTTACACTTTTATAATCCTTGCTATAGTGGTCAATAGCTTTTTCGTACTGGTTCATCAAACAAATGGAACTGTTCCTTGATATCTACCAAAATAGTAGCCTCCACCAGGCCTTTCTAGGGGAATACGAATCGTAGAATTCGGCAAAAAAGAGAGTAAAATTGCTCAAGGGTCGTCCGGCCGCGGGGAGGTAGTTTCTTCCAAACCTACAAGGCGGCCAAACTCTCATATAGCCAGCGTAGTTAGTCTGGTAGAGACTACCAATTGAAAATAGCACAAAATGGCTGATTTGATATTATCATGAAACATGATGGACTGTAATGACTGGACACGTCAAATATATGTCACATTCAAACGGTATAAAATGTTCGCAGTACGTTATAACTAGCTCGATTCAAACATCGATAGGAATAACTCAAAATGTGATTTGTTTTTTGTTAAAAGCATATAGCTAAAATGATCTAAACGTACGGGCTTGAAATCACTACGTGTGGGTGGACGAAATACGTTTCATCTCGACTATATGTACAAAGCTATAAGGTAGTACAAAAATGACAATAACAACAGCTAAATCACGGTAGTTTAGCCATAGTTTAATATCCCCTCATATTCCTGAAATATCGAAAGTCGGACTCCTGAAATATTCGAAGTCCTCTGATGTCTGACACACGCTATGTTGTTTTTATTCACATCAACAAGCAGCAGATGTTTCTAGTCCATAATTTCGGATAAAGTTATCTATATTTTTCTTATTCCTTGCTGCGAATTGTAGCTCGCATTGTGTCCCAAACTCTTACGTTTTGACACTCTTCAATTTGCCAATATGCGTAGTTAAGTAATAATTGACAAGCATACTTGTCGACTGATTTAATGTAGTATTTTCTATTGTTTTCTATTGTATTGAACGAATGAAAGAAACCGATGACACTTAGATCGTAGCAAACTATGTAAAACAAGCTGACCGTGGTAACCTTACCTCAAAGTTGTCAGTCTTACACAATATATTCTATACCCACTGAAAGGTGGACTAAAGATGCATGAAAAGAATATACAACGGGCACTAGTGTGTGAAGACCATACAAATCTCCCATTCCTTATACAATGTATCGTCTATGTTATAAAAGTCAAATGGTTATTTCAAATAATAAAGTAAAATCCAATAATCAGTGAAGCAATCTGCCCACATTCATAAAAAATGCTTGAACTTTGCAAAAATCTAATGATTTGAAAAAATTAACATGTCGGTAATTCTAGCAGTCACAAATATAAACAACATTAATATTCAAATCAAACAACAATATAATAATAATCCATGGATCTCTGAAGATAATATCCAAGGCTCCAGCCCTATGACCTCTGTGGATAATATCAACGGACCCAACTGGACATGAAACAATGGAAGATGTCTTAAATCAAAATTAAAAGCGTACAAGAATGCAAGAAAGTCGAACTGTAACACATTAAAAACAATCAACACATCAGTGATGTTTTCACATTGCGTGAAGGCTCCAGCGTTGTTGCATTACGTTGCCGCAGTAATTTTAACTGTACAAATGTCAATTTTATTCATTTATCTTTGCTACGTGTAGAGGAAGACTTATATTGCAACAGTCAGTGCCTCCTACAAAATTTCTTCTCAACGAATCTCGGTCCAACTTTGACGTCTTGAATTGAACAGTAAGCGCGTATTCTTCGTCCGAAAAAGCAGCACTCCCAAGTGAGTAGATGGTCGCTTGCAGCAGAGTTTCCCCGCTCTTCTATCGATACTTTTATGATGAAAAGGGAACGAAAAATGCGTTGATTGGAAGAGGAAGTTGCAAAATCCGAAGACTGATGAGTTGTGTTTCTTTCTATATGGCCAGTAGGTACTTGGCGGGGAAAGAACCTTTAGTGGTCTCCGTTTGCACCTGGAACCAGCCGTTACCTTCATCAGACAACTGCACACAAATCTGTGGGAAGGCAATTCAGTGGTATAATCAGATAAGACTCATCAGGAATGTGTGCTGTGTAATCATGGTATAAAACATAAACCAATGTGATATGGGAGTGAGTTGCGTTGAATGAGCAATAATCCATATTCTATGATATAATTCATTCGGGTATTTCATCATGATCACACAATACGGTTCCTACATATCTTACGAAACCAAGTACACATTCGCATACACATCATGCACAGTACATGTATATGGAATGTGGCACAACTTACACCATCCTGAAGGTCCTTTTTTAAAAAAACGTTAACTTTCACAGTTTGAATCTAAAGCTATAAAAACGGCTCTATATACATGTATGTACCTACCCTTACTGCACTTATTCTGTGAGACTACAGGATCTTCTGGTGACTTAAAGCAATCCTAAAAAAACTTGTTAAAGCAAAGATAAACAAAGTTATAAAAAGAGTCGAAAAACATATATGCTCAAGCCAATGCATAATGTAACATTGGGAATACCAACATAACAAGCTATTTAAGAAAAAAGAAAAGGGGGTGAACTTAAAGCAACTTTTAATTCATGAGCTGGTTGTTGTTGAGACTCAGAACAAGCAAAATGTGAATGAAACGGAAATTGTAATATGGCCATGTATAACATATTTCTCACTTACATCCCCCTTCGTCATTTCTATTTCTCCATACTTAGGATTTCCTCCGAACGTTTCTGTACACTGTAACACCTCGGCACCTGAAACAGAGGGACTATTGTTAGACCGCTCATCTGAAACCTGTCCCGTTTATTCTCCTTAAACTGTTCATCCTACAGTAGTCTATTTTTGCGAAAGACTTCTGTTAGGAAATTCACTTATGATTTTTTTTAAACCCAGAAACACATTATTCTCTAAACCGTAAGTGTACCTAGCTGGGTACCTACCTGGTGCCACTTTCAAGACATAGTTGGCAGGGAAGAAGCCGATTTTGCCGCTGCATTTACCCTATTATTGAACAGTATGTTATTAGTGTGACATACATCACAGAATATAAGATAAATGCTTAAGTGTAAAGAAAAATGTTGCTTTTCTTCACTTAGTAAATCTTGAAAATTTTTGACTGTTGTCTCTCTATAAATCTTTCTGTGTGCAGTTCCCTTACCTTCCACCAGGTGGTGTCAGTGTCGTCCGTGATCTGGACCCGGTCACCAGGTCTGCAAGCAAAATGGGACTAAAGGGTGAGCTACTGTCTAAGCTGTCTAACATGGGATCCTGTTCGCAAGCTACATCAGGGGATTCATCAACGTTCATCATCACTGAACTAAGAAGGGGGTTATCTAGATAGACCTGCAGGCACCACTAATCCATGGCTGGAGTCACATCACGTATTAAGTCATTTAAGGATGTCCGATGGTCTAAGATTACAGTGTCTGATGGTTTTGGGCCAGTCATTTTGAAGAAGGCTGTGAGTATGGTCTAAATTTCATGGTAATTCTCTCAAACATTGCTGCGAAGATGTATTTGAGAGCTTCTTAAGCTACTGCACTTGGTATGTGTAGGACAGTTTCATTCCTTCTGTCTGTCACATCTTTGTACACATTCTGGAGAATACAAGCAGCCTTAAGTAGATGTGTGCCATATCATACCACACCACAGCCCAAATTATCAGTAGTGTTCGTGCCAAAGCAGTGCATTTGCTCAATGTGGTGCCTGGTCACTAGGGAAAGATGGCAAAGGTCTTGAACCAGGAAGACATAACCAATGGTGTTCAACTTGTATGAATAAACATGCTCTCACAGGCAGGCATGATGTGTTTTGTTGTTCAAAAAACAGAATCTGATCACTGTAGTTTGGTAAACACTCTATAACAATGACTGATACCTCAATGTCCACAGCACAACACTTCCCACAACACACCATCGACAACTCTGTTTAGAAGTTGCTAGGAAACTACTGCATATGAATATGAAGCAGTTTCAAAGCTACCTCGCAGGGTGGACACATTTGTGACATCTCCAGACATACCCCTTATAAAACGCTTTGTGGTTGATCTACTGGTGCTTGATAGAAATTTGTTACAGGTGTTTCAGAACAATAAGTTCAGCACCAAGTAGAGGTTCTGTCACATGTACTAGTTGCTGATAGTCAGTTCAGCACCAAGGAGAGGTCCTGTCACATGTAATAGTTGTTGATAGTCAGTTCAGTACCAAGGAGAGGTCCTGCCACATGTAATAGTTGCTGATAGTCAGTTCAGTACCAAGGAGAGGTCTTGTGTGGCAGTTCCATCCCCCCTTGCAGGTGGCTGAATTATGAATTTTCCCCTTAAATTAATTTCAGTGAAATTTTGGACAGGTGTGATCATAAAAGTCCATATATTTTGAATGGAAGTGTCACAAAGTCATATTGTTTTGACTAATGTTAAAACTTGATCTTTCTTGACCAATGTCATAATGTGCTTTTTGTCTAATGTCTCAGTTTGATCTTTTTTGACTGATGTCAGGATATGATCCCTTTTTGCCAGACGTCACCATGTGGCCACCCTGTCCAGTCACGGTTGTGCATCTCACCTCAACATGAGATCTTCCTGTCGTGTGGGTTCATACTTGTGTAAGGCTACAGCTAGCTTCAGAAGTGGGAAAGGGGTGCGTCCCTTTGGAGGCTGGAGGGGGGGCAACAAAAGGGTCAAAGGTGAAAAGCGCGAAGCGGTGCAGGGGGGTGACGGTTGGGGGGGCCGTACGAACCCTTACCTGAGCGTCAGGTCCTTCTCACTCCTGCCCGGCCAATCATGGAGCGATACCGCGAGATTCAGGACGGGGAACGGATACTTGGTTTTTTGTTCCTCGGGTTGCTAGGGAAGATTCCATCGCATCGTCAATTTTATTTTGGAAGTATGAAAAGCAATTTTTCAAGCTAGTGGTGTTTTAGTATGTTAGTCCATTGGTATGTTAGTCGAGAAGATAAGTACCCAATAGTATGCAGTACGTCTTCTTTTCATTTTCACAAGGAATTACTTCACCTTCTACTCAGTGTAAAGTCATTGAAAGAGGCTGTTTAAATTTTCATGGAAAAAATGTATAGCCTCCTAATTCACACAAACGTTTTTGCAGAAGCAATTATAGAATAGATAGTATAATTAGAAGGGAAAAAATGATGAAATCAGTTCAATCTCAACCCAAGTCCTGAAGTAAAATTGTTGTAACCAGGTTATCTTGTCGCACCTATTAGTGAAGTGAGGCAACAACTAATTGGTTAGTTAAGCAGGGTTAGTAAAACAACATTCTGATTTTCTTACTAATATTCAACCAAGACAGAACTATGGTATAAACATGGTCACCTATGTAATAAAATAAACCTTGTTACACTACATGTAAGTCAAGACTTTAACTGTTACACTAAGTACTGCACAAAACATCAATACTACACTATTGTGTATCAAACTTTTAAGAAAATGTTAGTTTACACTCATGAAAGACGAAAATGAAAAGGTGTTAAAGCTATTGTAGTTTTCAATGCTTTTAACAAAACCACAGCAAGCTACTTTGCCAACATGTAGCATGTCATGTTCATCAAGAATCCTAACTGTTACAGTAGAGTCAGTCAATCTAAGAGTAGAAATATTTGTTGTACAATATCCTCATTCTTACTCACCATTACAGCAGTGCCAGTAGAAACCACCTTGCCATTGGACTTTGATGCTGGGGGTTAAAATGGACAAGATGTTAATGAAATGTGTTTTATTAATCTTGTACAGACTACAGATACTAAGTCTTATAAAACTAACACAACTAAAGAAAAACACAATATGTTCAGTTTCACTGTGGTGCTTTTAGCAGTAAAATTTGTGACATTTTGACAAGTTTTTAGTTTAAAGCCACTTTAACATTTCAAAATTGCTGGTACCGGTACATTCCATGCAGTACTGTACACAAACACTAGGTGGCAACATTGCAACACTGCAATGGCTTACTGTCTCCACCACTCCCAGGATCAGACTGCCCTCTCTGTGGCTGTGCCTTCTGCTTGTCGTCCACGGGTTTCGCTGCGTTGTCAGTCTTCACGGGACTGCTCTGCGCTCTCCCTACAGACGACAAGGCAGCTGAGGACGATATACCAGGCCAGGCGCCGGCGTAAGGGGGTTAGCAGATAGAAGCACAGGGTAGAAATAAGGCCAGCAAGTTAGAAGGAGAAGCAGGTTAGAGAAGCTGGCAGCTGATTAGTTTGTCAATAGAGAAAGTGAAGTTTACAAAAGTGTAGAGATGACAAGCAAGTTACCACTTAAATTTATAATGTTAAACATAGGTTACAAGACAGTTAGAAAGAATTTAGTTAGAAAGTTGAAAAATCGTACAATGTCAGTATCATAATTACTCTTATTCGTTGGACATTTTCTTCCTTCCAAGACTTTAGCAAACACACAAAGAACTAGAGTTCCACGATCTCATACCTTCGCCAAATGATGTTAGCTTTTATGATTAAGAAATTATATATTAATCCCCCTAATTATGCAAATGTTATCCTCAATTGCATGAATTATATCTGTTGATCATATTCTCTACCAAAAGACAGTCTTATCTTAACAAAGAATGCCATGATGACATTTTCTCATAAATTATGCAAATGAGGTCCTTATTTGAATAAGTTATGTTTAATTATGTTCACCTTAACTTAACTTTCAAACACCCCAAGTATAAAATTCCAGGCAGTTACCACTAGGCAATTATAATATTTTCTCATTAATTATGCAAATTAAGTCTTCATTTGCATAATTGATATCTGCCTGTGTTTCTCTCATTCTTAATAACATATGTCACAAGCTTCAACTTCCTATTATGGAATGCAGCTGATAAATAGAATTTCCTCATTAATTATGCAAATTACATCCCTATTTGCATAATTGTAATATCATTATGTCAAGCATCACTCAAGCTACCTACATACCAAAAATCACGATGATCCATCAATCGGTTCTTGAGTTATCCCCCTTTAAACATTTGTCCATTAAACCCCCTGCAGTTCTAGAGCAAGCAACTAGGGGCTCAAACTCATGTCACTTTATCCCCAGCACAAGAGCTATCTACCATCCAAATTTCGTCACCCTAGCATGTCTGGATCATGAGATATCAAAACCGGAAGTTCTGCTGCAGTACCATGACAAGCCGCCAGGTGGCCCAAAATCTAATCATTTTGAGGTCTCATCAAGACCTACCCACCTACCAAGTATCAAGACAATCCATCAAGACCTTCTCAAGTTATCGTGTTGACAGACACACACACACACACACACATACACGAACGCCCCTGAAAACATAACCTTCTTGGCGAAGGTAATAAAAAAAAAGGTGCTGGGTAACTAACTTCAAGTTGGTAGAAATTATGGTTCATTGTCCCAGACATTGGAGTCACACAGTCACATTGGAGTAGCTTAAATAAAAGTTAACTTTGGGCGAGAAGGGTTTTCTCTAGCAAGGTAACAAAGACAATGTGCTGCCACACTCAAGTTCTGCAACTTATGTTAAGAGCAAAGGGTCAAAGTGTTGAATCTGCTTGAGAGCCATAAGAGCCATACATTTTGTAAATGATACATGTACATGTATGAGGAGGGAGAAGACTGCATTGTTTATGAATGGGTACTTGGTTCAAGGATTATACATGTACATGTACAACACAGCACAGGATGACATCACAAAACTACACAACACACAAGCAATCTGCTTCTTCTGTATTGCACTACAAAAAATTCTGTCACTGTCTGATGCAGTCCTGAACTATACACACAGCAGAATAACACTCTTTATTACATAAAAATCTAATAAAAGAAAAGTTTCAAAAGCACACACTACAAAAAGTTACAAATGCAGAGCAAATAGCTTCTTCCAAAACCTCTGGGAAGTGTATTGGGACCTGTGGAGGGGATTGTATGATTTAATTGGGTATTACACCACTCCCTGATGGTGTGTGTTAGGTGACCTTCATATAAATCAACTGAAAAAATCACCTCCCACCCACCAAGCAGCTGTCAGTGAAAAAAAATTGGACAAACCCATAAACTCAGCCACCCAAAACAATACTTCCTTTCCCGTAACAGCTTGCATTATGCCAACACCTAGTAGCAATTAACAAGGCCAAGAAACTTGTAAAAACAGTTATTAAATCTGACACATGCAGCATCTTTGCTGTCAAAAAAGCGATTGTGAGAAAAAAACAGGGTTCTGGCCAGTTTGGAGAAGGTTATTGAGAGCCGGATGTTGCCAAAAGTTGGGGATCACAGTTATATTACCCGGTTTGGCTGCAGCAGAGTCACCTGTACTGCCAGATTTGAACAGTGAGGTTGGTCTCTGGGCTGGGGAAGGCAATGCAACAACTGTTGTACGTTTTGAGATCGCAGTGAAAAAACGGTAGGTAGTCAAGAATGAGATTGTAGACAATAACAGTTACTGTAGTACTAGTATCATCATTGGGCTGGGGGATTAGCTCCTCTGATCACATCGATATCCAGGCAGAAGGCGACTACTTTTCCGATTTTTTCAAACTGTATAGTCTAGTGGCACCAATGACAAAAGATTAAATATTTTGCAGACAACAATCAGATAACTAACTCCTGACCTCAAATGTCCTTGCTGTATCTATATAGCCGGTATAACCGCCCTTCGGCGTAACACACCAGCTTTGCAGGCACGTGGCGCGGTGGCAGCTGGCTACATTACACCGAATGACTTGTTACATCCACTCCAAACCCACTACTAACTTCTAACCCTGGTCTGGAGACAGTCGTGAGGCCATGTTTGGGGATGTGTGACAGGGTTTCTGACTGCTATCTTACAATTAACAACTAACCTGTGGACGTACCACTTCGCCTGGCCTTGGGACTGGCAGGGTTGGACGTGGAGATCCCCTTCCTGTTGGCTGCGGAAATCATCTTGGCAACTTGTAGAGAGTGGAACACCGGGTCAAGCCCTCCTTCACCTGAGGTTACAGGTCAAGTTCAGTGCTTGTACATATAAGGAGCCTACTTGCATAATTGTTAATAATTCATCAGTCGTAGATTAATATTTTGGTGAAGGTATGCGATCGTGGAACCCTTTGTTTTGTTAAGATAAATATACATTTAAGATGAAATGAAATGAAAACCAAGCAAATGTCAGGAGAAAAGACTGGCTGAGTGCAATGAAGTGATGCAGTTCTATACTACATGTAGCCACTAATAAACTAATTACAAAATATCTCTTCCCCCTTGAAAGAGCTACTGATACATGACTTGTACATTACAATTGTGCTTTTATAAGTTCAGTCTCTTTAGCATTAGTCCAATTCTAGTCACCAAGGTGCCAATTTTTTTAGTCACATACATGTTACTTTTTTTTTGTCATCACACTCGCACCACTCATCCAGCTATTTCCATCTTGGTCCCGGCCAGCTTTTTAAATGAAATACCTTTATTGTACATTCATGCCACGACGGGCCAGGTACAGGTCAAGATATAACAGACACATAACAAACATATATAGAAAATTGGAGACAAGAGATGCACTACTTGACTTAGACATACATACATAAGGAACATACAAGGGTACTATACTAGGCTAATACAAAGTGTTCTAGTCACTGAGCTAATATAGAGAGGTCAACTTCTTCTCGCTTTTTTGTACAGTGGAAAATGTGGGAGCAGATCATGTTTGTGATACATGGTTTGTCTAAAAAGCATATTCTGTTTATGTAACAGTTTTTAACAGTAATCAGCGGCACTATGACAGTTGACGTTACGTATAACATTGTTATGTACATATCCAAGAGAAGACAATGTGAATATTCAAACAACAAATTCACCACATCACATGTACACGGAAGAGTGTGTATGAACATGAAGGGAACAAACAGGTGTGAAATGCTGAATGAAGGTTGATGAGAAGGTGAGAACTGACCTTCCCCCTCCCCGTCTATACTCGGGTCTGCCCATGTGCATGGAAATCAAAATGAAAGGGAGAAAATATGAAAACCACAGGCATGGATGAATTGATGACGGTGATATTGGGAAGTGTGGAATCACAATTCTTCAGACATAACAATTAACATAATAACAATTATGATAAGAATAACAACTCATCCATGCATGACAAATTTAAGATCAAGAAAAGTGTATATCAGACTCTGTTTTGGCTAGGTACATTGAAGCTAAAAAAATGGTTAAAATAATGTATTGTTGAGAAATTACACTGTTGGCTAGCTTATCTGAGTATATTCTTTTAAATCACAGGTCTCGTCATGATTCTAATGAAATTGTTTAACCAAATCTACAAATGGAAAGAATCAAACTCACTTTCTGCAACATTGAGTCAGGTAGGGTCCAGGTGGTAGGCATGGGTTGGAGGGAAAGTCACATTTTGGCAACATTGTTCTTATTGCAATTCTCCCACATTCAATATGTCAATGGTGGAGGAATAAGCTAGGTTATTACCATACTAAATGTTACGTTTTTGGTCATGTTTGGATGTTTCTATGTAGATTAGCAGCATTGCTCAATAAGTTGTGGATAGATTTTCATGAAATTTGGGATGTGCTGAGGTCTTGATCCATCAAAGAAATGATTTTGGACCCCTGGTGGCTGTCCTTGGTACTGAAGTAGAACTTCCGGTTTCAATATATTGTGTCCTGGACATATATATGCTAGGCTTATGATTTGGGTGGCTAATAGCTCTTGGCCTCGTGGTATATTTTTGGGAACCCTAGCAGCTTTTCTTAAACTGCAGTGGCCAACTTAATATAAGACTTTGGAAGGTTATAATTCCAGAAGGGGTTGACAGATTCCAGTACATAGCTAAGAAAAATAATTTGCTGTAATAATCATCAATAGTCAAAACATCAAAGCAAGGAAACAACCAAAAGGCATGATGACATGACAAAACTTGAAACCTTCCTCCATCATTGCACATCACAGTCTAGAGGCAAAGCTCTGTCATTGAGAACAGTGCTGTTTTGAAGTGAGTGCTTAAAAGCGAGTCTCTGCATCCTCATGCAAATCTTACCAGTCGACTACCAGGCAGTGGAAGGAGACAACATGACTCATGACATGAGCCTTTTTTTAGTGTGGTGCACAGGAGGGGGGGGGGGGTACGACGAGTGTCTCCTTATCATCTATTTGGTACATAAATACATACTCATCTTGTATCATGTTTGACAGAACTTAATAAAGATGATTTTAACTCTACATCTAGGGAAAAGTTAGTACAACTCTTGCATAATGAGAGGAATTGTTGATGTTTGTATTCAAAGTGTTGACAAAAGGAACAGCAACCCAAAAGAGGAATAAAGGCTCAGCCCCTGAGGTGTAGCCAAAAACAGTTGAATAAATGGGTCAATGTAATAAGAGACATAACAATTATTTTCCACTTCAGGGTACATTCTTGTGGTCAAACTGTGTGATTTACCTGTATTACTTCTATCTACACAACTAAACTATTGCTAGTCTTTAAACAGGTGTCGTTGTACAGGTGAAACAGCTGTCGTACAGGTGAAACAGGTGGGGTACAGGTGTTAGCGAGCTAATAAGGAACACAGATAGACCTGGGACACCACGACAGATGGACACAAGAAGAAAACCAAGAAGGGTGGATGTTTCTAGAAGTGCATGCTGGTGTGGTCACACACAACATTCAACCACTGAGAAACGTGGTTGGTCGAAAGAGGCCTAGACTGGGGTTTTCTCAAATCCACAAGAAACCTTTTAGGTCTATATCTTCATTGCAAGATGATTTTGTGGTCTATGTCAGGTGTACTGTTGTCCCCAGTATTGGCCTCCGTTTTTTTTCTCTCAGTCTGTTCACACATAGTGGGCACAGACATAGAAAGGGCTCAGAGTTTTACCTTCTGTAAAGAGGCAAATTACAGAGTGGAATAGGCCATTTGGGAGGAAAAAGAGATGGTTCAGAAATTGATTACTGCACTGATTGAATCTTCCTAATGTTATGTGATATTCACAACTTGTACTTAGTGCCATATTCTTCAGTGTTTGAAGGTTTCACTAAAATTTATAGCTTCTATAATGTACAGTGTACATGTACATTCTTTCTATTATCTTTCAAGCACATAGATTTAATATAGCTAACATTTCATGTCTCTCTTGCATAAAATAGGGTTATGATAATGATCAGACTCATAGGCTATTTGAAGTAATGCTAATCATAATATCATGTATGGAAATGTAATATCTAACTTTAATTTCTGCACTAGCTGAACAGAGAATAGCTGAAAAGAGGGATCCATCAAAATGACAAATTCTCCAATAAGCTAAGAAGCAATGGAGGTATGTAGTGATTTGCTGAAATAATCATATCGACATGTATCTTCTTGGCAATCCCTTAGCTAGCATTTGTTTGAAAAATGTATTTGTATTTACTAAATACATGCATGTAGTATAATTATCATGTTTATATAATAGAACTTCAATTTAAGAGCAACATTTTGAGATGGTTGTTTGTCAGATGGAGATACGGTACACCGCACAATTAAACACTCAGTAAGAATTGGAATCGTAGCAGCTTATAGAATTTATAAAATACCACTACATTATATTCTATCGCCATCAGCAATAAGTTCACATAATGCTATGTAATGTATTGTTGGTTTAATGTCAAAGTTAAGGGCTCCTGGCAATAAAAGGGCCTTGAACTTTGTGTGACAGGCTGAATAAAAGTTCTAAACGGGAACTATGCGGCGACTGCGTGTGCAAGATGTTGGTAGCTTGAGGAATGAATCCCCTCTACTATATACTGGCCTTGAACTTTGAACTTATTGCTGATGGCAGTAGAACTGAACTAGCGTATACACAATAGTTCTCTGCTTACAAATATACCATGAAGAGTGCAAAGTTTAGATAAAGAAGCAAGTGTCCTGTTCATACCTACAGAGCTTAGTGTGGATGAGGGGGGCCCATCCTTGCCAAAGGCCAGCCGTGCCTTGTAATCAATGTCGGAGCTACTCTTTTGTCTCCGTAACCCCTTCCCTTGTCCAGGCTGAAAAACAAACACATGACTGTTAAAGAAACGGTTAAAAGCAGGGAGATAGGGAGGCCAGGGAAACTGATTATAATAAGTATTTTGGTCTAAGAATTTCAAGTAATTTGGTCTACCCAATCCATAAGTAGACCAAAAGTATTCACTAGTTTATATCTCTATCAAGGAGGTTAAAAATTCTTGGTCTCAAGATAAAGTAATCTTCTGTTTCAAGAAGGGAGAAGAAACAGCATAACAGTTGATGAACAGTAGTACACAGTGTTGTTTTAATACATAAAATGTAGCATTTCAGTACCATAATACTACATTTTCTACACCCTTTAGACCAATGTATGGCTCTACTGCATCTGTATGACATGGCTCATTCAATATACAGATCAAAATTATTATGTAATATATCAGCTGGAAATGGGTATCTAAATCTCGACTTGTGTATCTGTGGGATCCAACTATTCATATCTTGATGCTGCATGATGCAATTACTTTCCAAAGTTTAATAGATCAATCACTGCCAAAATTGGCCACATTTTTGGCCTTATATGCAGTTATGAAATGTCTTCTTCCAAAATGAATTGTATGAAGATATCTGGCCATCATTGATATTCAATCTAATCATCAACTGGCATTCAAGTTTGAACACAATCTTTATGAGATATGCCTGAAGATCTTAAATCTGTGTTAGATAATATCATCAAGGGGTTGGCGATACATTTGTCTGCGTCACTGTTTATAGTAAGGCCATGTTGATTTGATTATATGGATGACATCCGCGCGCGCATGAATTTTCGGCCGTTTCCAAAAAAAAAAAAGAAGTTTTCAACCACACCATAAATCGTACAAAACAGTTGCAAAATGAGCAAAAATATACCGCAAGTTGGAAAAAAATATTTAAAAACCATGCCAATGTCGTAGAATGCCAAAATCAAACGAAAAAGGACGAAAATGTAAAGAAATGATTTTGAGGAGTAGATTATTCGCCAAACCACATTCTGTGTAGTTTGTTCAACCGTCATGGCCACGTAGATTTCATGATGAAAGCAACTTTTTTTTTGCAAAACCTTTTTTTTATTCGCACGCGCGCATCAGTTTTGGGGTTCATAGTGGATGTCATCCATATAATCAAATCAACATGGCCTAATGATAATTTCACATTCCTTACCCCGCCCCATCTTATTTCATGGTCCTCTGCTTTGCCGTATTGCACAAACGTGAACATGAAAATTTCATAAGGTATGAATAAGCGTCTCCCGTGTCGTGTGAAGAATCTGGAGGGACTGTCCAATTTTGTACAAATCCCCTGGGACACGGGGTAACGCACTTCTGTGCCCCGATCTAAAAGTGGCTTAAAAACATACAATTCTATGGCTGACACTTGAAGAGAGTTTCAAATGCCGGTCAATAATGTTTTCAAGTAACAGCTATGGCTTGAATCATTTCTCTGCCAGTGACATATATCAGTATGCCTCACATATATATATGAGTATGCTATGGGATAGGGTTGGCTCAACTCTAATGCATTACAAGAATGACCAGAAAATTGACTTTGAAAGTCCAGTTTAACTGTCCTGAATACATGTATGTATTGGATGCCTTTAACAGCCAGTGTTTACACCAATTCTAAAATATCCATCATCAATGCCGGTCTGGTGGAAGCACTGACTTCAGCACCACGGACAGGCCAGTCTTAACATTACTTCCAGGACAGTAGTAACAAAGTAGGCCATGATATTTTTCACCAAATATGATAGATAATGATGCTAACCTGTGTGATGTTAATGCTTTATAAATGCCATGAAGGTGATATGTGCATAAATGCCAGTGTTAGCCCACTATCCATCCTGTTTTACTTCCAGTTTTCTCCTCTCGCGACGTCACTTCTACACAGAATAGTTGTCCCCATGCCCATTGAAATGTTCGGTCCTTACATCCTACATTATTTTGGGGTTGACTATTTCTCAGAAGCAATGTATTAAATGTGGCTTGAACTTCCAAATGTCTGATTGCTATGCTGTTACAAGGACTGTGTGGCTTGGTTCCAATCAGAATCTCTCGCCTATATACATTTACATTCTTGGCAAATATTCAATGCTAATTGTTTCTCTAATAAAGAGTGCCAGAGAATATTCTGTATGGATGTGACCAGAGAACACTTTGACTTGAACAGGATGGATGTCAGGCTAGTACAAATGTATAATAAGAAGTGCGAAAAGATGATATTATGAAGATGATGAGACTTGTGGATATCATACCTCCAGGTCGGCTGGTGAGGGGGGCTGTGGATATGATGAGAAAACCATGAGTGTGCCTTGAGGCATGGTAGAAGTCAGGATTGTCAACTATCTTAAGATTAGAAGGGGTGATTGGCCAAGGAAGCACATTTGTATGTACCATGCATTTTCATAAGACAGGATTTTTTTAATATTCCAGTTCTTGATATGTCTACTAGGCATTCAGACACTGGTACAAACATTTATATGTACCATGCAGTTTCATAAGATACATTTTTTTATATTCCAGTTCTTGATAATTCTAGTCATTCAGACATTGATGATGCTGAGAAAACCTACTTAAACAGAATCAGTCAGAAGAGTATAGAATTTGAAGTATAAATTATTACATAAAACATAGCAGTTGCCAATAATTTTGATGCACATAGTTGACAACCCCTGAATAGTATAGAAATCTAGATCTGCAAATCGTGTTAGATAACAAGCAAATCAAATCGTGCAACGTGATGCAATAAACTAAGGTTCAATGGAATGATGCATGAAAGCAGTAACACCTGGTGCGTAGAAAGATGAACATATTAATCTATCCTTACCCATATAACATTGGTCATATTTTGATGCCAACATTAGGCAACACCAAGACTTTTCCACCAAGTATTTTTTTAAAATATGAGAACCAACGAATCAAATTGGTGTGGCCTGAGCCAACATTACAAGAATCCTCACACCTGGAGAGCAGATGCCAGCCGCAGCCTACAGGCTAACGGCTTCAGATCAAATACAAACCAGCCAGGCAAAACTAATTGATTGATTGAGTCGGACAGACATGAATGGATAAGTGACCTGTTCTCTGCCCCCTTTCCATCTTGTGGACCATTCCCTCGTTAAAAATAAATCCCTATTGATGAAAATCACTTCCAAAATTTCTGAATAAAACTGATATTTCTTATGCTCCCAAATTCCTGTGCATTATAGGGTCATGTTTACATGAATTTGTAAATTATGTTAATCATTGATTTTGTTTTTCTTAGTTACTAAGCATGATTGTATTAAAACAACAACAATTTCTTGTTCATTTTCATATGTGTCTTTTTATTCATTTCTTTTTATCTCCCAACAGTAACAAATGGCAATGACAGTGATTACATACTTACAGGGAAACTATTATAGTCTGACTTGTCTCACAGAGAACACAGAACACCCAAAAGGGCCTCAGGTTACCAATAAGAACCAAATATCTCCCTCAAAAGGGGGCAAAATTGTCCTAGAATGGAGCAAGGAAGACTGTTCAAAGAACGACTGCAGTATACATTGGATACATGATATTGTCTTGTTTCTGTCTTCTGTGGTTGAATATTCTGAGTTAATTTATGTCTCTATTGTGATGGCAGAAGCCAGAATAAATAACTACTGTAACAACTGTCATTTTGTCACAGTGCCTGTCAGAGGTATATATAATAAGCTGACCTTACGAACTGCAAATATTACAGATTTACAAAATGCATGTTGTATGAACCAACGTTTCAGCATTTGCAGCCGAAATCTCCGTGCAGCTAAGCAGATTTAACGACCCGGGTTGATAATGTAATCTGCGCTCGTCATGCCCTGGAGGGCGTGTACTTGGCTTATGATTTTGGCGTTAATCTGCCTGTGAAAGGCAATATCAAGTGCAGATTAGAGTCTAATACCCTGATCAGGACGTGTAGGGAGGATTTCAGGTCAAATGCGATCCTCTCATGGGGACAACCATCTAGAAAATCTCTTTGAATAGAAAATATGAATGATACCAGGCCTCTAACATGAACAATCCTTTATGTAGCATCTCATAACTCTAAGTTTTACAGCGAGCATTTCAACATGGCATCCATGTCTGTTTGAAGCCAAATTTCTCAGTGGAACCCCTGAATTTCATTCATGGCTGCACTTTCCACTCTAACAGTATCCATAGCTCATTAACATGGTAAACAAATATGAGCAAGTGCATTTATAAATACATTATTGTTTGGGCAAGATGTTGTAGATAAAAATTCTAACGTGAGATGGTTTGAATTCTAAATGTGTCAGACTCCCTGTGTCAGTAATACCATTACACATCTTCCTGTAATCTTTACCAGCAGTGTAATGGAGGAATTTCTATGTGATTGCTGTTAAAAAAGGGGTGTTCGAAGATATGCAAATGCGAGAGAAAAAAAACGTGCTGGTCTTACCGCTTGTCCGGTACATGAGGGGACGCTGTCTTGACATTTGTGGTGCACGTTCATCTTGCAGTTTTTACATCGGACGCCTTGTTTCATGATTCCTGCATGGCGAGGGGAGAAGGGAGTAGGTGGTTGTCAGTCGGGTAACATGACGACAGCTGATGGTACAATGGGGAGAGGGGGAGTGATACAATCAATTGTCAGGCCGCATTATATAGCGCTTTTCCCTCCGAGCTACGTGGGGTGAATCTCAAGTGAGCCGAACCGCAATGCTAACTCAATATGCGACCCCGCACTCACCAATCCTATGAATTATATAACAGACCTATAGCAGTACTAGAAAACGGGGACCGATATGTAGAATTGTACCAAAAATACCTCACAACCGACATGATGTCAAGAAGCTGGGAACAATATGGTCCAACAAAAGCACAGGTGGGATATCAGCGCAGAAATGAAAAATGCTACCGTCCACAAATTCCTGAATATAATGGAGCAATGACTAAAATCAAGGTGGCGCGTCATTAATTATACATTCGGAATTGTCCAACCCTGTCAGCTGCACAATGGAATAAGAAATTTCCCTGCAGTCAATTTTACTATTACTGCAGGGGGAAGCTATATCTAATTGTCCCACAGGAGAAATCATCACGCAAAAGGTGTGAAATACCTTTTATTTAAATTACAGGGCAGAATGCTATGAAATAGGCAACAACGGCCGCAATGCTTGATTATTACAGGTAGCATTTGAGAAATCTGTGGCAATTTTGTGTGTCACCATTTCAACCTATATATATTATGTATTTTTCAAATAATGGAAAGGAATGAGATCATCATTTTCAGCCTACCCTCGCAACTGATATCCATATCAGATATAACTGATATCACAATACATATAATGCAAAGGTGCTGACATAAATGGTACCACATACAGTGTACACACATTTTTAGAGGGTTGCATGTATTTGGTTTATAGAGATCTGGAAAGCTATGCATATATGGCAGAGATTGGATATTGGATTTTGGATATTGAATTTAGAGCCTTTGGACTAAGCTTAATCACTGACAAGTCATGTGAATTCTTGATGTGATGTCAATAGATTTAACACTCTTTGTTCATACACGTATTTCTGTTTTCATGAATGCAAAAGGGAGGGGGGCTTTTCACAATCATTATCTGAACTGACCAGTGTAACAATACTTAAAATGGTTGGAAAGGATTTGGTTTTATATTCAGAGACATACGGATCTTAAAGGGTTTCACGACTGAAGACCAGATTTTCTGCATGTTAATGCATATTATGTAATATATGTTTACGTAGTATTTACATATTGGTGTAGAAAATTTCCCCAACATGTCACACCAACCTACTGTGTATAGGTAGAAACTAGATCATTTTAACACAATTTCCTACTGTACATCTGAGGAAAACGTACAATGTCAGATGCACGTTTTAGTCTGTAACCATAACCTGCATATGTCCTAGAACTTTCTCTTAGAAACTGTGCTGCAGTGATTGCAAAATCAATACTTGGCTTTCAAATAGCAAGCAGGGTACGTGATGTACAACCTAATAGCACCAAGATGCACTCATGCACTTTCTAGGAGGACATGACCTGCATAGTGCATTTGAACAAGTGCCATCTCCTATGTTGGGAAGACCATGACCTTTTTGTTGTTTATTTGTTACTTCAAGGAGGAAATTATTGTTTTTGTGGCACTGGGTTTTCTGTGTATTTTGTCCTCAGCAGCAAGGATTGGAAGTGAGCGGGTGGAGTTTGCATTACAGTTGATTGACAGCGTTGTAACCCTGGGCTCTGCCCTGGGTGTTGGTAGGAATGTGTACTGTATAATTATGACATAAACCATGGTGTAATGCCAAAGTTACATCACACAAGACTGCCGCAAATTTCACAGTACATGACGTGAAACTTTTAGCATCACACTCCAAATAAGGCACTTTCTATGCTGTTATCTGACTCACTTCATCATGGGGTTATCACTGCTGTCAATCTAACTAGAACATCATTGCATGTCAAGTCATGACCACATATGGCAATGAGAATTGATGGAGGTGATGTGAAGAAAGAGAACATCTTTTTATTCCTAGCCTTCCATTGTTACTGAATATGAGAGAACACAACCACTATTTCAGCACCAAGGAGAAGTACATACTTTTCACTGTGTGCTCTTTCCATTTAGCCTTTTGAAGGCATTTCTACTACAGCTATCTTTTTATTTGCTTTTCTTGTATCCACTTTGCTCCCTGCACATGTAGTGTTAGAGCTTACAAGGCTAAATGTTAATCTTGAAATTTGGCCACTGTGAATTTATGACACTGCAAATATTCATTTCTAATGGATTACTACCATAACAGTAATTGTACTGCAGAATTGTTACAAGTACAAATTAAAAGCCTCCTCTTTTCTTCTATTGCAAAATGCAGTCGACGAATTTACAGTATCTTCCTGTCTCCGATCATTTCTGAGAATACACATGTAAGATAGACTTACCTCTAAGTAATTCCTTGCACTGGTCACAAAAGGTGGGTTTCTTGTAGGTATATTCCTGAAACTGATGGGCTTGTCCAATGTTATCGATGTTGAACTGTTGTCTGGAGGAGTGTCGGGGTTGCGGGGAGTGTGGCGGTCCCTGGTGATCGTAACTCCTGGGGTTATCCCCTCCGCGGTAGTGATGATCCCTCCTGGGGTGGTCGATCTGATCGTGGCTACTCAGCTGCTGGTGGCTGCTGTACTGACGCTGATGCGATCGCGGGGAGTGCGGGGCGCGGTTTTGCATCTGTGGAGAGTGTCCCATGTCCCTATCCCTGTCCCGTTCCCTACTGTTCCCGTGTGCATAGTCTTGCTGGTCGCGGTGGGAGTATTCCGGGGGCTCCCGCGTGTCTCGCGAGCCGCGGGAAGGATGGTCGCGATCACGGTCGCGGTCATGGTGGGGCCTCCTCTTACGCCTGTGGTTGTAGTGGTCGTCCTCAGGGTTGGGTCCACCGAATATTGGGGAAAACAGTTTCATCTGATAGAAACAAAATATCAGAGATTACAACCTGGGTAAGCGTAGCACCATTTCATGCAGTTGAAGAAGAACACAATGCAAGAACACATCACAGCTTTCATATACATAACTTATGTCCTATTCTCATATGGTAGTGTACACCTCTATATTATGAATTGTGCCATGTAGCTCTAAATTTGAAAATTTTAATTCTGATCTAAGGCTAAAATGTTCAAATGAAACCATAGAAAACATACACCCTTCTTGAAAATGCTATCTCTTGTTTTGAATATATGGGCCTAGGTACAGATACGTAAAAATAAAACCAGTTGTATCTATATATATATCTTGTCGTTCAGTATTGAGTGGGACTTTGTACTACGAAATATTGCAGACATCCCAATGTTTTATATTATTATGCACCAGCCCTTAAGATCTTTCCTGTAGCTTTTAAAGTCCTTATACAGCTGATATGTAAACTATGCTTACTCCCCAAACACTCTATTTAATGCTCCGTGATGTATGGCAGATTTTACTCCACCCCTCAAGTGTCCTGCCCTTTATACTACATCACATTACTGTCATCAAGCTGTAAGGCTTAGGTGTGTCAGGGATGGTCTCAGATATTCAAATGTTGTGGCAAAAGGAAACTATTTTGGATAGTGAGGACATCCATTAACATGCATACTCACTGCAATGTGTGATATTCAGCACCAATGATATCAATAACACACATGGAACATGGCTTTTTTTTTAAGGTTAGAAATATATAGCAAAGTATGGCAAAAATACTTTGCTTTGAGTAAACACTCATTTTTGAGACCCCCCAGCTCCAGGTCATGATCTGTGAGAGTGATTTTTTTTCTAAGATTGAAAATAGCAAAGGATGGCAAAAATACTTTGCTTTGAGTAAACACTCATTTTTGAGACCCTCCCCAGCTCCAGGTCATGATCTGTAAGAGTGATAATGTCCCAGCTGAACCCTGTTCTATATGAGTAAAGATGACCTTCTGACCTGGGCCCTACACACAGACAGCTGTGCCTCTGCCATCCTGATGTCACTTTTCTTCTTGGTGATGTCTTCCTGGGTCTCTCGGGCTTTACTGTATAGCTGCATCTCTGTGTGACTAGGAACGAAGAACAAAAATTGTTCTTATGACTGGCACATGTAACATCTGTGTCCATAATATCACCAGGGTCCATAATATCACCACCTTGAGAAACAGTATGCTTAAAGATATTTTTCCTGCAACATACTTTTGGTATGCACTCCTTCACACATCAAATGTACATACCTAGGGTATGTTGCAGTAAAAATATCTTTAAGAACACTGTTTCTCAAGGTGGCGATATTATGGATCCTGGTGATATTATGGACACAGATGTTAGAATCACTATGAAGCTGAGCCATCTTTATAAGAATATTACACAGTATTACTAGTATTACATTGTACTGTAACATTGTAGTGTAAAGGGGAAAGACACAAGGTTGACTCTGACTCCCAGGGATCAAACCCGTGCCGCATGCAGGTGTCAATTCACAACCAAATGCACAACCACTAGATCAAAAGGTCCAGGACCCATTGGGCTGGTCAGTTGGTGACACTTGCTGTTACAGTACTACAAAATCTTACCTTCTATACAGGGACTCTAAAGAAGCTATTGCATCATCAGTGTGTTGTACAAGGATCTCTAAGTCTTCAATCTGTGAAAGAAAAACACACACACGGTTGAATAATTTCATTGCCAGTAAGCAAGTTGGGAATCATTTTATTATTATAATTAGTTTTAGACACTTGCTCCCATACTCACTCACACCAACAATGATGGTACCAAGACTTAGGGTAATGCAACCAGATTTGTTGTTATTTCTATAAACCTTTAGAATGCTGATGTGATCATAATCATGATTGTTTTCTGTAAGACATTAGCCCTGACCTTGTTGTCCTAAGCCATATTTGCTGTAAATAGCAGTATACAAATGGAACAAAGTAGAGAGAAGATTATAGTTGATGTAAAGACAAGTTGAAGTGCCTTACTTCTTTCTTGAGCATGTCATACTTCCTCCACAAGGCAGGCTCTGTCGCATCACTTAGCACCAATGCATTTTGCAGGAAGTCCTAACAGGAGAGAAATTACTAATTTATAAATCATGGTACATTGTGCTAGATTCCAAATTCACCACTCTGCAGTGCCCCTAGCAGTCTAGTGAGGCATTACAGGATGGTAGATTGCCTACAGCTAAGCTATTCTCCCAGATATTAGAATAAAGAAATAAATCTTCATGCCATTATCTTACAGTTTTTGTGTACTAAATAAAACCCAAGGCATTCAATTTTATTATAGTTGAAGAACATGGAAATTAGTTCATTAATTGGAACAAATTGTTTTACTTCTATAATCTTTGTGTCAAGTATTAATCTCTATCTAAAGTTGACCTTTTGCTAATCACTCTTTGCTAGAAACACCACAGAAGGATTTTGAAAGTTACCGCTCTGGCCTCTGGCTCTGGTTTGGTGTATCTGTGGATTGGCCTCTGGGGTTGGTCAGGAGCAAAGTTTGCTGTAAGCTCTTTGATGTCTGTTTTGTTGGGTAACGTCCTACAGGCTTGCACCAACATGTCCATTCTGTTACTCTTCTCTAAAGCCTACAGGAAAAAAAAGATGTATGGAGTGTAAAGAAATGTTTAATATAGATCAGGCAAGATTTGTTTAATGTACATGTACAATGCAGTCAACAGATTTTTTTAAGTCTTCAGTGTTGTTGTAAAGGATCTGTTCAGTAGCTGTATTTCCCTTAGTACTTGTACTGTCAGTAGCAATTAACTTTTATTTCATAAATCATATTATCATATAGCTAGGTTGTATGGGCCAATCTAGTCTCCATTCTTATTGGTTATGGAGTAATAACATTATAAATCCATTAATGAAAGATGAGAAAGCCATGTATCAATGATCAACTTACCTTGGTTTGTGCAGTTTTGGCATATCTTCCAAGGAACATAGAAAGTGCAGTCAACATCTCTAAATGAAGATCTTCAAGGTCCTAGAAAAAACACACACAACACAGTTTCAGCAGTTTATATTAATTTTCTTAGTCTTGTGAGAGGTTGCTGCACTAAATACGAACATAAAACCACAGTAGGCATTTCAAGATTTCCATGTACAAAATATTCAGTAGTAGAGTTTGAATTGTCTCTGAATGTACATCTGGTAATACTCACATCCACCATTTCTGGAAGAGCTCTAGTGTAGAAAGCCTGGTTGAAGGTGTTGACTGCTGTCAGCTGGAGTAGGTAGGCATTGTGGAGGTTGTGGCACACGGAGAGGTAGTGGCTCTGAGGAACAGCAGAGAAAAAGTCAGCATATCATGCAGATGGTACCATGAGTGATTTGCAGGTGGTACACGTAGCATGCACTACTGTGGATAACCAACAGAGGGCACTGTTGTAACAGTGACATTACATCCTATGTGCTGTGATTTTATGAATGGGTGTGATGCACTCTCACTATTATAAACAGACTTATGTCTCTGCTTATTATATAAATCATGAGAGCATCACATACATGTATGTCACTCTCTTAACACAGTAGAAAGAACTACAGGAAAATTAATCCTTCCATTAGACACTGATATGTCAGATAACCATATACCTTACTTACATCATATTAAATGCAAATGCTTAGTGAATTGTGTTTTATTTGATATACATACATTGTACATTGTACTGTAAGTATGGAAATTTCCTCCCAAACAATAACATATTGTGCTTTTGCTGGAAGACATTACTATACCGTACAAATTGGGCTGACATGTTCATACTGTATAATGTCAGGTCAGCTCAGATGCCTACTGGGAAATCTAATGTACCGTATAACAGTGAACATGTTTACTTACTCTGTGGGATTCTCTGGAGTCATGTTTGGCTTTTAACCAGGCTTCTGTATATTCTTTGTGTACCTATAGGGAGAGCAAAAAATACTAGTAGCAATTCAAAACTCACCAGTGTTACAATTATGATAATGTAAGATATACAAAAGGGATTTGAACATTGCCCTTTTGTCCTCTTTTGTAAACTTTGTCCTCTGGTTTTGTTTTTTAATAATGTAACATCTGTGTCCATAATATCACCAGGGTCCATAATATCGCCACCTTCAGAAACAGTGTGCTTAAAGATATTTTTACTGCAACATACATTTGGTATGCACTCTTTCACACATCAAATGTACATACCTAGGGTATGTTGTAGTAAAAATATCTTTAAGCACACTGTTTCTCAAGGTGGTGATATTATGGACCCTGGTGATATTATGGACACAGATGTTATATCAGTTGAGCATATCTTTTTCATGAACATAAGAACCAAAAAATTTAGCTCATGTGCCTTACCCTTTGCAGCTCAGCTTCAGCCTTTTCTATATGTGTTTCGTAGGCGTCCCTAAATCTGTGCATTTTCCGGGTCTGTCCCCTGTTGGACTCTGCCAACTGCCCCAGGGGTTGACTAACATTCTGCACCAATGAGCTGGCTAGTTCCTGGGACACCTGCAAAAACAACAAGACATTTCAGACATCTGGGACAGGATTGGAACAGTGTCGTACAATGGATGGGAAATACCCAATTGAATTACATCATAATCATCATCTTGTCATATTAACATATACATATACTAGAATGGATTACTCAATATTATTGTGTGATGGACTCTAGGACTACACAATGGTTTATGTTTCCTACCATGATTACACAGTACACAATAATGGTAAAATCATACCATATCCTACCACCAATATGGTATACTGTGTCACAACCATTGCTGCTGAGGACCAGATGCATACAATTTCCTAGACCAGCAATGCCCCAAACAATACTTCTGACCCAGAAGTAAAGTTAACAATGTTACTTTAAATGGGGAATATGAATTCGAAGTAAAGAAAAAATGTTGAAACTAGGTTTATAGCAGACTATTGTAAGAAATAAGTAGGCAACAAAGAAGGAAACCAGTCAATGACTTACTTGTGCATCTGACTCTACCTCTTCTAGCAGGACGTCCCAGCATTCAAATAAACTGTCTGGATATTCATGCCTAGAACATCAAGAAGAAAAAAGGATGGTTATGAAGAATATACATTGTAGCCCAATCATTCTTCAAAATCATACTTGTACATGTAGACGTCATAAATTTGCATTTATATAAGAGAGGTTACTGAAAATAAAACCACTGCATGTTTCCCAATTTACAGTAATCAGAGTAATTTTACAAATCATATAGAGTTGAAGTCTCATTTTGAAATATAAGAATTTGAAGCAAAAAACATTGTTGTACAAAATATACTTGACTGCATGTATTTGTAGAATATATACTTAGTAAAAAGGGGTACTATGAAGCAAATGACATCATCTGTTTGCATGGCCCACAAAAATCAAAATAACCTTGAGAAAGCACCAGGAAGTCTACGTGACGCCATTTTCCATGCAGAATGAATGGCCCACCATTACAGACAACATACAGCAGGGCATGATTTATGTTTTTTGCATGTTACCTCTAGAAATTGAGGTCAGCTATAACCGCCATGTAATGTTGAGACAAAACCAGTAATTTACAGTTATTTTTCAAAATATGAGGTATGATACACTTACAATGTATTAAAATTGTGGACGTGCATGCTACCTCCAGAGGTAGCATAAGGTCCAATGGCTTTTTAATACACATTTTATCATATACTTGTATGGTTGCCACTGACTTTATGGTAGAAAATGTTCCAAAATGTTATAATGTTATAATCACACCTTTAACATCTATGGGCACATTTGTGCCCAAGGACATTCTTATTCTAACAACTAGAAATGAATGACGTTTTTGGCTAAGGCCAGATCAATTCAATTCCATGCTTTCTTGCCACATTTTTATGTAGAATGTTAGCAAAAATATAAAAACTGTGTACCAAAGTGCAGTTTTCTAGCATTCTCGTTTGAAATCTGAGATTAGAAAATTAAATTGGTGTGGCCTAAATTATGAGATGTTAAAAGCTCTAGACTCGATTATGTCCTTTTGGAGGACCATTTCTATGAAAAGAAGAGTCTTACTACCCCTGTTTTCAGTACAGGATTACCACAATTTCTCTTATCATTTTTGTTGAGATGGCTCAAACAACAAACATCACATTTTGTACTTCATTTTGCAATTGACCTGAATTTGAACTACAGACAACTTAATCTACCAGTGGATAAATGACTGTACTATGTCAAGAGGACCTATGATTTGGGCACTTTTAGATCATAATAAAATCAATACAGTGTCATGTACATGTACCTTTTAACCTAATCTAAACAGCGTTATACCATAAGGTCTTACTAGAGCAATTTTTGCAATGGTATTTCACAAAAAGTGTTGACGTAAAACAAGGAGGACAAATCTATGAAACATGCCCAGTATATTTGCCTGTGGCATTAATATAATAGATTTTGTGAATTTATATTGGTTAATGAATAAAGACTTGGGGGGACCAAATTTTACCTGATGGTATCATGTCCTAAATGATGCAATATGAAAATCAATATAGTGAATGACCATAAAAGCAATAAAATCTGGAAAGGCACATCTACCACTCAGGCACTTAAGGGGCTGTGGGGAGGGGAAGACAACTTGAACTTGGAACCTGCATATTTTGTATCTACTGTTTGTTCTGGTGCTCCACATTTAGATTAAGAACATTGAAGAATATTGATTATAATAAATATTCCCTTTATTTCAACCAGTTCAAATCCACCACTGGTATAGATTTACATGTATGTAAGGCCACACCAATTTAATTTGTTGGTTCTCGGATTCGCCTCTTCATTTTTTCCTGATTTGCAAAAAAAAAAAAAAAATCAGAATCAACTGCAAAATAGCTCATATTTTGTCCTGAACAGTTGAAAACAGTCCTTCTCTTCCTAGTCGTTACAGTTATTCCATCTTTCAATGCAGTGGTATCATTAGAAGTTCAAAATTCATTGTTTAAATTTTGAACCAGCCTTTTGTGTTGACTTCATACCTCCCATCATAGCATTTGGGGCTATGATAGGATGCCTAGATCTGTTTTTATTTTTATTTTTTTTCGCCCTGTCGCTTCATATTTTTCCTGAAAAAATCCAAGAACCAACAAATTAAATTGGTGTGGCCTAACAAGTGGAAAATAAAACACCCAAATTTCAACCTTAGAGTTCAACTTTAGCACACCAAAGTAGCCATTTGTCTACCAATTTTCTACTGGTTGAAAATGGTTATGTGTTAAACTTTATATAGCTAATTATGTAGATTTGTCTGTTAAAACTATTAGATATTAGCATTATTTTAACTTCCACATATGTACCATAATTGTACTTCCTTCAATTGTCGTGCAGTAAAGTTCTACTTGTGTGAGCAGGTTTGAAGCAGCTTGTAGCACAACAGTTGCCATTTCAGCACCACAGAAAGTACCATGTGTATCCTTGTCTTCTGAATGTATCTTTGTCTTTGTTTACTTTCTCTGAATGTTTCCTTGTCTTTGTTTACTTTCTCTGAATGTTTCCTTGTCTTTGTTTACTT